TTTATTGAATTTATATCCAACCTTTATTATTCTTACAAATAACTTATGGCAATGAACATATCAAACATACCTTCCTCCTCCTATTTTCCCCACAATAGCAGGCCTGAGAGGTGAGTTGGGCTGAGAAAGAGTAACTAGCCTAAAGTCACCCAGCCAACGTTCATGGCTAAGGTGGGACCTGAACTCACAAGTCCCATTTATATCCACATTTAATGGAGACTTATTCCTAGTTCTTTTAAAGACATCATCAAAAAAGAGTAAAAATACAAATATATAATTGTAAATACAAATATATAACAGTGTAAAGCAGCGGTTCTCAACCTATGGGTCGCGACCCCATTTGGGGTCGATCGACCATTTCTCGGGGGTCGCCAAACAAGGCGATCTGCCATTTTTCCCCCTCAGGAGGCGCCGCCGCGCATGCACGCTGTGCATGGGGCACTGCCGTGCATGGGTGCCGCGCATGGGGGTGGCCCCACGCATGCACGCCGTGCATGGGGGCGGCGGCACACATGCGCGCTGCGCATGCACGGCACGTTTGTGTGACGGGGGTCACCGTCACACAAACGTTGAGAACCACTGGTGTAAAGAAACAAACCGAAACAACAGATAATATAAAATGGAAGCAATACCTAAGGCTAGCAATAAAAGCAGAGAATAAAAAGCATACTATTAATCTAAAGCTTTTTTGGGGAAAAAAACTATCATGACCTTTAGAAGGGCAGCAGAAATGCCCTGTATGAACCTCTTACCAAATGCTCTAATTTCAGCTCATCCAGCACCTCCATAAAATGGAACATTCGAGCCTTTGGTGTCTTTAAAAGAAAGGACTCATTCCAAATCTCTCCTGGAGGTTAAGCGATTTTACACTTTTTCAAAAAGTCTGGACAAGTTACCCCTGACAATTTATAACTGTCAAATCATTCCAGTTCAAAATGGAATTAGAATTGGAATTATTCTATCTTTGTTATTGATTTTAATCACCTAATCATGTTGATGCAATTCAACTATAAATTCTATTATGCTCAAAGGCAATTAAATTGTCCAATCAATTTGATTCACTTTGTTCCACTGATCTGATCAAAAGAGCAATGTGATTGAATTGCCTTTGATTTGAATCTCCAAAACAAATCCTCACACAGTCCGTGTTCAGAGGCATTTTACTTCTTTGAATAACTAACATGCAAGGGTAAATTCAGTTAATGATCACCACAAAAAGACTATAAAATGTGGTTGATCATGTGGCCAAGTACATTTTACATGGCTTAAGATTGTGATGGGCAGGCTACATCAAAGTCATAAATCAAGGACCACCTGTATGAATATGATAGGTCTTCTCTACTGTTGACTATTCATTATTCATAGATAGAGAATGACTTGTTAAGTCTATAGCAAAAGTGGGCAAAGCTTTCTGTAATTCCAAAGAATATTTCAATGTGTTAAAACTCATAACATGCTGAAACAGTGCATTATAATCCCCAAGAAGAAAACTAAGAATATATGTGGAGAAAAGCTTTGGAAGATCATGTCTTAGATGAAAGAACATAGAGCATACATACAAGTTCAATCCTAATCATATATCTGGTTTTATTTCAGCCATAGACCAGCATAAAACAAATATCATTCCGAAATAAAAACAGAAGGAACCAAATATGGTATTAATAAAACAGAGTAAAAACTATCATGGAATTATGACATCTAAAATATAAAACCATGAAAAAACAACTATAAAATTAAAATAGTTTTATAATTTCTTTGCTATAACTAGTTAAGCCAGCCAGGTATAAATACATATGAAACACTAACAATTATAAGACATTATAACAATTTAAAAAATTATCATGACTTGGGACTTCAATACTTATCTGCTGTAGCCCTACTAGAATTTGATTGGGATTATTGCAACTATCAACCAATCCTTAGACACGATATAATGGCAATATAAAGCAGAATGAATTTCCAATTTTCTCCTTTATTTAAGGAGAAAAAAAGGAGGATTATGAGATATATTAAGTTATGGTAGATAGGACAATGCAGGGTGTTACTTGGAGAAGCTGTTTGCATTCAGTCACAAAACCAGTGAACTACAATGTCTAAAATCCCTGCCTGGGAGAAGGGGGAAGGGAAGGCAGACTTTCAAAGGAAGTAGAAAAACAGTTAACTTGAATTTCAATCAATGTACAGAATAACCAGTCCAGCAATTTCTAAGATTGTACAGCTCCCCATTCAGAGGTCCTATCTTGAGGGAAGTTAAGATCAGATACACTCTCCTACCTTTCTAATTTCAAAAAGCCCTGAAACAAACCAATCCTGGGGGATATTTAAACGTCTACATAACTTGCCTTCTACTGCAAGCAGCTAAAGGCAAGATCATGTATAAAAATGAGAAAATGGACAGGCAGAAACATTATAATTTTCCACTGAACAAGCTAAGGTGTTCTGCTAAGGCAAAAATGGAGTTTAGAGTGGCAGAATTCCCTTTGACTAGTGCCCCATCACTAGTCATCTAGTTTCAGTCCATCATTTCCTAAGTCAGTGTTTCTCAACCTTGACCATTTTAAGGCATGTGGACTTCAACTCCCAGAATTCCACAGACTTAAAATGGTCAAGGTTGAAAAACATTGTCCTAAGTTATGTAGTTCGGCAAGGATTGAATAAATGGTTTATATATTTAGCGAGGTAGTTGGATCTTACGAGGACATGCAAAAATAGTGCTGTGTGAGTATCAGACATTTCAAACTTTGATATAGGATGTTATTTTTCAAAGTGCACATGCTTTTTTTGGCCTGATCAACAATATGATGTAGAGAAAATTATAATAAATGGGGAAACTTTTTGGACAATGGTATTGTCTTACCTTCAGTGAATACAAAATGAAAAATTGGAAGCAGATTAAACAGATTGTGAGGGATACTTTAACACAGCACATCCAACATACTGATGGATATTTCATTTATTTTCCTTTACCAAGAAAAAAGAGAAGGCAAGAAGTAAAAGCTTTACTTCACTTAAAATGACTATAGAAATGGTAGTAAATAACCTTCTATTCCAGGTGCTTAAAAATGCCTCCGTGTATACAATGCAGACTTTTCCTTCTATAAAAATCATAGTATGGGGCCATTATGCTTTCAACACCATGTAGGTGGCTTTGCATTGAATGTACTAGAGGCTGAGGATAAGAAGCAAAGCACTGAAAACTATTTATGGTCAGAATACTCTTGCACTTCCTACATATGTGTTTTCATTTGCATGTGTTTCAACACCACAGAAAAATCTAGGCTTTGTATCTCATCGGGTATTTTTCTTTAGTTTTGAGGGATACATTTTTGAGAAACTGTCAAACCAGAATCATGGAAACATGTACCTGTAATCATGACAGTATAACTAATTATTGCTGCAGGAAATGGTTTTTGCATTTGCTACTAAAACGGTAGAAAGGTTTTCTACCATATGCAAAACAAGGAGGGAGAAGAAGGATAAGCAATATCCAAAATAATAAGCAAGGAGAAAAGGAGACTGAAAGGAGATATGATAGTGATGTTCAACTACATAAAAGAAAGCTACAGGAAAGATGATCAAGAACATTTTTCATGACCAGAAATAATGGCTCTCACCTATACCTTTCTACATTTCATTTAAATATAAGGAAAAAAATTCTTGATGGTAAAACACGAGCAACAGTGGAACAGTTTCAATGGAAGAGAATATCTGTAGTAAGGTTGAACTGTGGAGTTCTTGGTGCTGTCTGAATTTGGTTGTTTGCTTGCAGATATTTTATTACCCAACGAGGTAATGCCATTAGTCTGAGTAAGTGAGGGTTTAGGTGCCTGTTAGTGCCCATTTATATATATTAACTTGTCCTGCCAATTTTGGTGAGTGAGCGGTTTCTTCCTTGATCAGTGTATTGCTTTCTGCCTGATTGTTTCTCTGGTATTGATCCCTGTTTATCTAAAAGTAAGCTGCTAGAGGGAATTATTCTATTTTTTGTTTGTTTCCTTCCTAGGTTTTTTATCGTCTCTTTTGAATGAAGTGTAAATGTGATTTACTATATCATTATGAGTCTGTTGATGGCTGATTTATCTGAATGCCCAGCTTTCAGGAATTATCTATTATTTTGATTTGGCTTGATCTAAGATGTTAATAGTTTCCCAGTAGAAATTGTGGTTGAATCTGTCTATGTGTTGTGGGATTAAAAAAAATATATTATGTTTTTTGACTGCTGTTTGGTGTTCATGAATGCACTCTGCTCATCTTCTCCCTGTTTTTGCTACATATTGGCTGTTACAGCCCTGGCATTATAAACTGTAGATGGCCTGCTGGCTCTTTTTTGGTTTGCTGGAGAACTTGAACTTTTCAGATATGTACTCGATGACACATGGAACAGGACTTTGATTACATCATCACAATCAGCATCTTGATTTTTCTGATTCCCCATCCCTTCTGCAGATGCCCCCAATTCCACAGGATGTGGGCCTGGGCTAGCAAACAGAAACTGAATACACATATTCAAAACATGCTCCAGAATCTCATTTTTTTATATTTAATGTACTGCCAGTAACAACAGTAATAATAATAATAATAATAATAATAATAATAATAATAATAATAATAATAATAATAATAATAATAATAAAGTTGGAAGGGACCTTGGAGGTCATCTAGTCCAACCCCCTGCTCGGGCAGGAAACCCTACACCATTTCGGACAAATGGCTGTCCAGTCTCTTCTTAAAAACTTCCAGTGCCAGCTTTTCTAAATTTCCTTCAAAAAGCATATTTAAACCCAGATTGCTGGAACTTTCAAATGCATTCTTGTGTTCTTTTCTAATTCACTGTTTGGCCTATCTCAAGTTTTTAAGAAAACCTTTTTGGAAGAAAGAAATAACTTTTCTTACCTAAGAAACTTTTGCTTCACGGGGTAAGCAAATCTGTCAAGAACAATTTCAGGAAAACAAAAAGTCAAAACACCCCCCCCCCCCCAAAAGGTGCCTTAAGTTCTTACCACTGTGTGGATCTGTGGTTTCCGTCTTTTGGCTAGGTCAATGATATTGACTCCGTTGTAATATAGGTTCTCAATGCAGCCATGGAAATTTTTCTTCAGGAAGGTTCCTGGTTTTCCTGGGACTGGTATTCCTCCAAAACTGAGCTTTGAGACAAGAACAAATTCAAATTTTAATGCTCCAATAGCTGTATGTTTTTGACAAAAGATCATTTTCTAGATGTTAATGAAAGAATGCCTAGCAGGAGGACAATCCATAAAGATCAAATTAATAATTATATTTTACTCTCTCTCTGCTTTTCTTTTGCCATAGGTTAGCCATTGGATTGACTAAGATAGTTCCAGGGTCAAAAGCTGAAATTGCCTGAAATCGACATTAATTTCAATTTCATATGGAAAAGAACCATCAAAACTTTCTTCCAAATAGCACTGTGGTGCAATAATAGATTTTTGTACAGCAATATAATTTTAGGTTCCAAATTACTGGCAGGATGAATTAGATTTAAAGATCCATTCTCATTCTGGAACTCATTATTATCTGCTACTTTTGCTCTTTCTTATTTTGTCCTCCAGACTGGACTTACAGAAAATAAAATTAAAAGTGTACAGTCAATATCAATTATTCTGCTGCACTATTGCACAATATCAATTATTCTGCTGCACTTCCTGTGGTGATCAATTATACTTTTAATTACATAACCAATCCTTTTATTTTCCTTAGTTACAGCTTTAATCCCTTAAGTATACTATGATAAATTTTCAATAGGCAATAATATTAGTGGGGTACAGTGGACCCACGTAAACCTCTGGATTAAGTAGGTAATCATTAAACATAAATTGACCAATCGTAATTATGAGATTTATATATTTTACATTAGGTTCCATAATTAAATTGTTACAATTGATAAGTGTTGTTTTATTGTAGCCTTTCTTAATCTAGCCTTCTAAAGAAGTGATCATAAGACATATTTAACTGGGTCATGGGGATGGGCCAGGCAATGTGTTACACAGGTTCAAAAACCCTGCTAATTAACCAAGTTAATTAACCTCAATAAGGCAAAAATTTTAGTCTTGGGCAGGCCTCTATTATTTGAAATTCAGAAATATCCTAATGTACCAACTCATTCCATGTTGTTCGGTCCCCTTGCTAGAGAGTTAATTGTCCCTTCTTTCACCACAATCAAGATGGTCATCTGAAGAAGCCTCTGAAAGCCCTCCCATCTCTGGATGCTTCCACTATCAACTTCCACAGCCATAGAAGTGTGGAAAGGGAACAAGTAAGTTCCTCACCCTTTCTCCCCCCAAACACCAGGAAGTAGGAATTGTCATTTTTCATCTTCTTTACCACAGTTGGCAAGCCTGGAAATCAAAGGCTAATGCATAACTGATCAAGTCATCTGACTGTGCACTGCCAGCACATAGAGACAAGCCAATAGCCTGGAGGAGAGGATTGCTGGTTCAGCTGCAATGTGTCATATTCTATCATACCCCAGCCAACATATTTTTATAATTGCTAGCTCTAGTCCAGAACAACTATTACAGCTGCATGAGGATATTAGTTCTATGTAATATCAGTGAGATGGGTAATCGATCAACCTATTTCTACTCTGCACCACTTCATTATTTACTTACTTAGAACATTTATATAGCTGACCAACTGACTCCAGGCAGCAAACTCCCAAAAGTAAAACCTCAAATACAAAATCTAACAAACCTTTACCCCTCCCCATCCCACCCAGTGACAACATTCAGACAAACCTGTTCCAAATCATCCTAGGGTCCCCAAGTCCACTGGCAAAACCATACAGTATCTTCAAGACCTTTTGCAAGAGTATCAAGGAGGGAGCCAACTTATCTATGCAGGGATGCTGCTACCACAGAGAAAGCTTTTCTTTTTGGCCCCTCCTTAATAGAAGAGACCCTTAAAATACTTTGCCTCCCTGCTCTGGAGGTCAGGTAGATACAACATGGAAAAGACAGTCCTTCAAATAACCTGGCCCCCTATATGGGTGCTCACTCTCTTCCGGTCTATGTTTTGATTATTCAATCCACATTTATTCAGCAGCTATTCGTTCTTGACTCTATCTTTGCTTATGTTACCGATTTCCAATGCATTCAGTTTGAGTTTCCTTGACATGCTCAGCCTCATTTCCATGTAACTAAGTGAGCAGAAACATACCTTAATATTCAATCATTTTCATTCCTTCTAAAAGATCGCATGCTACCCACTATCTTTCTCCCATTCTTTGCATATTTTAAAAATTCTTCAACCATCTTTCTATCTTTGGTAAAAATATTTTACACAGATAAACAAACAACCATTCATGTTAGGCTGTTTTTTGCCTTTTATGTAAAGTTTGCACTGTTTACTTCATTTTCCCATCAAACACAACTACCAGGGTCTTTATTATATTCATATTCAGATCAACACTCTTAGTTACATCGTACAATCTATCTAACCTTCATGGCAAATCTTATAATCTTTCCCTCTTTACTTTACTTCTTTTGTACACCTTTGTCATATTTCAGAATCAACTTCCATTTGTATATTCACAAAACCACCCATACTTCAAGTCTTTTCAATTTTATTATTTTCTCTAAGTCATATGGTAAATTTCCTTTCTCGTACTGATACATTTCTGAATGTTTCACTGAACAGAAAAAACTCTGTGGTCCACCCTCCCCTGTCTGGCGTGAAATTGCATTCTCCCGAATTTTGTTCACTGACACCTCTTTTAATCTTTCAGTCAGAATTCTGCCAAACATCTGCCTAAGTACACTCAACAATCTAAAAGTATCCCCTGCGGTTTTTTCATTCATTTACGCTATCTTTCCTTTGTACAACGGAACAATAATAGCATTCTTCTTATTGCTAGACAGAGATGCTGCTGTGAGGCGTGAACAACCAGACCCACACATGTAGACTTTCAGACTAGCTACTTTATTGTTCTATGCCTATTCCACAGGAATCTCCCCAGACTGGCAGCTTTCACCAGTGAAAAAAGAGCGTTGTCTTACCTGAACACTTTTTCTCAGCAGGATGGTGTAGACTCCACTGATTGGGTAATTTAATCCCACCTGCTCAGACTAAGACAAAAAAACTCTGCCACGCCTCCTTCTGGGTGTGACTTCCCAGTTTTTGTCGAGGCGAAGCTACCAGACGCAAGGCTCCAAACAAAAAAGGAAGACACAGGCCTAGACTAACACTAACAGGGTGGGTGTGGAGTCTACACCATCCTGCTGAGAAAAAGCGTTCAGGTAAGACAACGCTCTTTTCTCCATCAGGATGGATGTAGACTCCACTGATTGGGACATACCAAAGCTGCTCATGTCCCTATAGGGAGGGAGTCTAGGCTTGTGACCCCTGAGAACCCACTATTTGCTGTAGGACTCTCCTACCGAAAGCAGCCTCAGCTGCTGCAAATCGATCTATCCTATAATGTTTTATGAATGAGGAAGGAGAGGACCATGTCGCAGCCCTGCAAATCTCCTCGAGTGATGCCTGGGTAGACCAAGCCGCTGAGACAGCAGCACTACGTGTAGAGTGAGCAGTAATATGTGAAGGTACCGGAAGGGACTGGGAAATATAAGCCCTGGAAATACACATCCTTATCCACCGACCAATGGTGGAAGAAGAGACCTTCCGACCCATAGTTGAGGGTTGAAAGGACACGAATAATGCCTCGGACTTCCTGAAGGTCGAGGTTCGTTTAATGTAATGGCGCAGAGCCCTGCGCACATCCAACATATGCCACCGTCTCTCCAGATGATGGGAAGGGTTAGGACAGAAGTTAGGAAGGACTAGTTCCTGCGAGCGGTGAAACCCTGTATTGATCTTTGGAACAAATGCAGGATCCAACCTGAGGACCACTCTATCCTCATGGAACATGCACAAGTCCTCCCTGACCGACAGGGCCGCCAATTCTGAAATCCTCCTGGCCGACGTGATGGCCACTAGGAAGGCTACCTTCAATGTAAGGAAGTGAAGGGAGCAAACTTTCAGAGGTTCAAATGGAGAGGACGTTAAAGCCTGTAACACCTTAGAGAGGTCCCAGGATGGATAACGATGAACCGTGGGGGGCCCTACATTGGCCGCACCCTTGAGAAAGGCACTGACTGCTGGGTGTTGGGACAGGGAAACCTGGTTGTCACAGGTGAGAACTGTTGACAAGGCTGCTATCTGCCTACGTATGGTGCTGGTTGACAGACCTCTAGTTAACCCCTCAAGTAAGTAATCTAATATGTCTGGGATGGAGACAGCAAGCAGTGAAAGCCGCTTTTTGGTACACCAAGAGCAAAAACTTCTCCAAGTGGCGTCATAGATTCTGTTGGTCGAGGGACGCCTCGAGGCCTGGATGACAGAAATAACCCCAGAGGAGAAAGACTGTTTGGTCAGACTCTCCCGTTCAAGTGCCAAGCGGCTAATTGGAGCCACTGTGGATCCGGATGTTGGAGGTTCCCCTGGCTGAGAGCTACTCGGTCCGGGGGAATCTTCCATGGAGGTGAAATTGACAGGTCCACCAGGTCGGCAAACCACGGGCGTCTTGGCCAAAATGGAGCCACTAAGATTAGCTCTGCCTGTTCCTGGATGAGCTTGCGAATGGTCGCTTGTATTAGTGGAAGAGGAGGGAATGCATAAAGTACGCCCTCCGGCCATCTGCTCCGGAGGGCATCCATTCCCTCCGCCCCCCTTGCCGGAAACCTGGTAAAAAATCTGGGGAGCTGTGCATTGATCGGAGAGGCAAAGAGATCTAGGATGGGCTGTCTGAACCTGCGTGATATTTCCTGGAATAGGATTGAGTCTAGCTTCCACTCTGAGTGATCTACTGTGACCCTGCTCAAGGAGTCTGCCTGTTGATTCGCCTCCCCCGATATGTGCTCTGCCCTGATGGACCTCAGGTTGGACTCTGCCCACAGCCCTATGGCCTGGGCTTCCTGCATGAGTGTCCAAGAGTGGGTGCCCCCTTGTTTGTTTACGTGAGCTTTGGCCGCAGTGTTCTCTGTCAGGATTAATACGTGTTTCCCTGATACAAGGGGGGAGAATCTTTGGAGAGCCAGGTGGATGGCCCTGAGCTCCAGCCAATTTATATTGTGAGCCAGGTCTGAACTGGACCACTGACCCTGGGCTAAATGGTTCAGAATATGAC